CCCCCCCCATTCCATGTGCAGACCCAGGAGAGCCAGGGAGGGGGAAGCCAGGGAAGGAGAGAACCCCCTGAGAAATTTCACATGCTCCATAGAAGATCCTAAAATGGAGCATTTAAGGTGCATATTTCAGAATTTGATGGGATAGAACTTATCCCAATCTATACTTGATTGTGCCTCATGTGACAACCCTCACTTACAAAGTGTTATTTAGGGTCACCCTAGTAGGCAGAGGTCTCAAGTCTATCTAATGCAGCTGTGGGCACTTCCTCAGTGCGCTGCTGCCATGTGACAACGCGAAGGAAAAGCAGTTGGTCCCCAACAGGAACTCCCCTCTGTGCTGAGGATTCACTTATACCCTCCCTACTTCACAAATATAATGCAGGGACCCTTAAGTGCCAGCCTGTGAAAGTGTCCACGTACATGTCTTTATTGGTATCTTAGATTTCCGGATCCTCTCTTCTGTTTCAGGACCTGGAATCCCTCGACACCTACATCCAGAACACGCTCTCTGACCTCTACCCGCCCTTTGAGGCCACGGCAGCTACCGTGCTCTGGCAGGTGTTCAGCGTGGCTGAGAGGCTCCATGGAGGCGACGGGCTGCGCTGCCTCACTGACTTCCTCATCCCCGCCACAAGGGCTCTACAGCACCTGCAGCAGGAGGCCTGTGTGAGTACCTGTCCTCAGAGGACAGCCTGTGCGAGACCCTGCCCTCGGGACAGAGCCTGTGTGAGGACCTGCCTTCAGGTGCCAGAGCTCATGTGAGGACTTCCCTGCAGAAGGAATCTGCGCGAAGACCTCCCCTGCAGGGAACACCTTAACTGTGCTTCACCTGAATCAGAGTCAGGCAAAGATACCTGGTACCTGGAAAATATTTAAGCTGAGGAAGTGGAATTTTAGAAGCAGGGAAATATGTCATTGATGGAGGCAAGGGAGAGCATTTGAAATTAAATCAGTAATTAAAACCAGCATAATTCAAGTGAGTATTTATTGTTTTCTTTCTGAAAGAAAGCTGTAAGATAATGAAAAAACAAAACCGTATGATAATCTCAGCCATGTTTTTATAGAGTTTAAACCCATAAATGGAGAAATCTTCCCATTCCCCTCTATTTGATTGGTCCATCAGGCACTGGCTCATCTCCTTCTTTCTAGTTTTTGGCTCCTCCTTTCCCTCGTCCCAAATGATGGATGAAATAAGACGATGTGTCCCAGAAACCAGGCTTCTCGGGCCTGCCAGGGAGTGTAGAGCCCACTTTGTCTGCAGACATCCACTCTGGTTCCCCACAGTGAACTTTGACTACAGTCTTTCAACGAAGGAAGTAAGTCACACTCCTAAGTAATCATCTCAGCCAACTTATTGGAGCAGTTCCAATACATACAAATAAACTCTGCTTAGTGAATTTCTCATATGTTTAGTTTATTTCTTAGGATATTTTTACTGTAGGTTACTTTTGAGGCACTGCTAAAACTAAGGACAGCCAAGTTGTGAGTATATTGCAGTGAGCTGCTGAAAAGATTATGGCTGAATCTTAAAATGAAATATCTTTATACATCAGCACCTTTTATTACTCCATTGATATTGAGCTAGGACCTCTTTTTTAACTACCATTGAGCTATTTTGATTTATTAAACTCTTTGACTATCTTTTAGCTAGAATGACCATAGTAGAGAAATAACCGAGGATATCCTGGATTTGATTCTTTGTTTGAAGTAGTCTATCCACATGATTTTCCTTTGTGATTATGTGCCCTTTGCACATTGACATAGGGCAGAAGTAGAGAAAGGTGCCTCTCAGGAGAAGTAAATAGCAGCACAGAGAATCAATCTGCTTTAAGTCAGATCTNGTGCCCTTTGCACATTGACATAGGGCAGAAGTAGAGAAAGGTGCCTCTCAGGAGAAGTAAATAGCAGCACAGAGAATCAATCTAAGAAAATACCTGTCCCCTTTCAAAGGCATGTCTTGAAAAGCTATTCTTAACTAATGTTTTGCCTTTTTTCTTCTAAGTTTCTTTTTCCTTCCATTTTAACCATGTTATCTCTTCTCATTTACAAAATTGCCTATTTTCTGAAAAAAACATGAATAATATCACCTTTTAATATGGATGCATATTTACAAGGGTTTAATAAGCACAAAATGAAATTTAGAGACAACCTTACTATTTGGATATTTCTATTGCTATTGCTTTTTACTTAAATGAACTTATCCTAACAACTATGAATATAAATATATTTTAGTTAATGTAAATTTAATGCAGTTTTTATTCATTTACCCACTATTGTCAAAGTATGTGGCTTAGAAATGATTGTTAATCATACTAACTTTAAAAATGTTGTTGTATTAAACTAATATTTCAATGACCACCATTCTGTCATTCTTTTCTAGATAGAAGAAATGCTTAAAATCACTCATTGACTTACTTTTAATTTTGTTTCATCACAGTTTGGATCAGAAAACATATGGAGAAGTTTAAATAAAAGAAATCAGAAGGTTATAAAAGTAGAATGTTTGTACTAAGAAGGGAAAGCAGGAAGAGGGTGTTAGACTAAAGAAAATGAAATCAAATAGAAGTCAAAAAAGGAGGGAGTAAAGAAAACAAAGACATGGGAAATAAAAAGCACAACTTACATAACAGGTTGAAAGTAAAGTTATTAAAAATGGTAGAACAGCAAAATTCTAACCAAAGGATAACTAGTATAACAATATTCATAACAAACTAAATATAATAAGAAGCAAAATGCATTGTTAGGGCTAAAGAGGTTCATTCAGTAACAGTAGTAGTCACAACCAGGAATACATAAAATCTGTAAACCCTTAACAACATAGCATGAAAATGTTTGAAGCATAAATTGAGGGAATTACAAAGAGTAATTCATAATCATAATGGGATATTTCACCTCTCTCTAAAGCAAACAGGATAAGCAAACCACATATTAAGTTATACATTTGGCCTGGCTGGCATGGCTCAGCAGTTGAGCATCAACCTATGATTCAGGAGATCGCGGTTTAATTCCCAGTCAGGGCACATGACCAGGTTTCAGGCTCGATCCCAGTGGGGGTGTGCAAGGGCAGCGGATCAGTGACTCTCATCACTGATGTTTCTACCTCTCTTTCTCTCTCTCCCTTCCTCTCTCTGAAATCAATATAGATATATTAAAAAAAAAAAAAAAA